CCGCGCCCTTATTCCCTTATTAGTGGCGCGCGTGTGTGTTTGGAGAGAGGGTGGTGGTGGAGAGTAGGAGGAGGAGGAGGAGGACGAGGACAGAGCTGTAATGCGGTCCCACTTTCGACCCGCACCTCGGGACCGCACGTTTGCGGTGACCAGGTGGAGGGGGGAGCGTAGAGCCGCACCGGCGTCCGAGTTGGCCCCCACCACACCGCACCACCACTCCCCTCGCCTGCACGCTGCCTGCATAGTGCTGCCATCTGTCGGGTTCGAGAGCGAAGGTTCGCGGCCGGTGCGTGCGAGTCCATGCGGTCTCGATGCGGACCCGGACCGAACCCGGGTCCGGCCCAGCGCGCCCGCCGGCGAGCGAGGCGAGCCGAGCCCAGATGTGTCTGTCTGCCTGCCAGCGGCGCGCGGACGGACCCGGACGCTGGACCCGGACGGGACCGCATTACAGCTCTGGACGAGGACGAGGAGGAGGAGGAGGAGGACGAGGACGAGGAGGACGAGGACGAGGAGGACGAGGACGAGGAGGACGAGGGGCGAAGGGAGGATAGGGGGCAGTGAGAGGAAAGAGGGAGAGGGCGGAGAGGAATCGGGAGGAATGAGTTCGAAGGGATCGACGTGCCCGAGAGGTCGACACCGGATCCCTTCACGGGCTGCCGCTGCCGCCGCCACGCTACGCCACACAACGCGCAACGTCTCGCCGCAGTCCGAGGCCCTTCTGATTGCGATTGACAGACAGGGGATAGCGTTGCCTCGCCGCCAGAGAGGGGCTGTCCTCAGATTCCCACCCACCGAGCCGAAAAGGAAAACCAACCGCAGAGCGAGAGAGATAAGGGGAGATAAGAAACACAGCAGGCGTCTCCCCGCGCACGCTCCAGCGAATCACACCGGCAAACCAACGGTACCTCAAACTGACACCGACTGCAGCGAGAAGAAGGTGGATGGATGTGTCCTTACAAGGTTTTCTGACGTAGCTCCATGCGGAACCGGGTCGGCAGACACGAAAACAGGAGGCACGCGCGTTTTTTTCACTTTACTGTCGTTATTTAATAGGGTGCAATATAAAAGTGTGAAATTACCATGGGAATTCTGTGAAAATAGGTAATGAATATGAATGTTTCATCTAAGAAAAGAATACATGAATAAATGCCTTTGATTCATCAGTGTGGCCGTGTGTCCCCGCTACTACAGCAACCCTGCCAACTTTTTAATTACGTCACCGGCTGCCCTCGCTTCCCCTGTCAGTCGGGTCGAGGTGTGAGGCTGCAAGTAGAGGTGGCGCTGGGGGGCAGAGGTGCGAGGCTGCGGGTTAGGGTGGGGCTGCCGGCAGAGGTGTGAGGCTGCACGCAGAGGTAGGTGGCACTGGGGGCAAATGTGTGAGGCTGCGGGCAGAGAGGTGTGAGGCTGCGGGCAGAGGTGTGGGGCTGAGGGCCAAGGTGTTGGGTTGGGCTCAGAGGGGGGCGGACAGAGGGGGGGGGGGCACGGGCCGACTTGCTGCTTCACCAGCATTAAAGCTGGGTGTACAGGTGTGAGGGGCTAGGGGTTGAGAGGTACAAGGGGGGCGGGGGAGTTGAGAGGTGTAAAGCTGGGGGCCTAAGGTGTGGCAGGGCTAAGACGGGGACGGCGCTCGTTGTAGTGGGATCCGTCCTACTGCTCCATCAGCATTAAGCTCCAGGCTCCAGGCGAACTTCCCCATCCCTCAGCGGGGCGCGTCGGCCGAGACCCAAAGTCAGTCAGTGGGGCCCCCTCTCTGCGCCGAATGTTATCCTCGGCCTAATTCACTCTACCGGGGGCCGCTGGGACGAATCTCTACCCGGCGTTCCAACGCGGCTGCCGCAGGGGCAGATGCGCCAGTCCCGTCGACGCGACGGCCGAAACTCGGAAGTAAAAGTCTGCCGCCGCCTCTGCTGGGTCGAGCAACGCAGAGAGCTGGCCGCCAGCGCCGGTGCAGCCCAGGACGATCAAATTGGGGTCGGAAAGTCTTATCTAATTTTACGAGCAGGCTGAGCTCCGCCAGTCGCAGGCCGTCGCAGGGGTTGGTGATGGCCGGCTGGGAGTGAGGCGAGACGGGGCACACGGCGCCCGTACCGGCTTCATTTCACCGTACCGGACGCACGGACCTTACATGCGTTTCCAAAGGGGAGGTTTTTTATACGACCCCCACCCACACCCCCTCTTCCACGTAGCCTAGCCCGCACGCCCACGTCCGGTGTGCTTTTGGGACGACGACCGGCTCACCCCTCACCCTCCCCCGCACAGTAAAAAAACATAAAATGGCACCCACTTTACGACTTAACTGCGCCTTCAAAGTCAACCTCACACTAAAAACCCCTCCTTGCTAAACTATATCCCTTTCCCCATCCCACAAGGTATACGTGCTTTTCCTCGAAGGGCCGCGTCAGAAACGCCGCTTCTTCTCGGTAGAGCGGGGGACCGGGGAGGGTGTGAGGAAAGGGGGGGGGGGTGATGGGACGACAACATCGCGGGAGTAGAGCCGTTGGTACTCGTGCTTTTGTTTCGTCCCGTTCCGCCGCAGTTAAGGGTCGGCCCCGCCCCGCGGCCGTGACAGTGACAACCGCCATGTCCATGACCACGTCCATGACCAGGGCCATGACCATGACCGTGGTAACGACATGACCACGATCATCTCCACGTGGCGCATCGTGGAGAGCGGCTCGAGGGAGAGGGGAGGGGGTGCCGGCCGGGCAAAGGCGGCTCAAGGCCCCAACGACTCTCTCTCACTCCATCTTCAACCAAGTGCAAGAGCGACAGAGACGAAGAGAGAGAGAGAGAGAGAGTTGTCCTCCCCGTCCCAGGGGGAAGGAAAAGAGCAGAGCGGGTCACTTCCCTTTCCCCCTCCATCCCCTGGGTCCCTCCCTCTTCCGCACCCCGACCATCCCGCACTCAAACCGCTTTATCGCCCAAAAGAAAAAAAAAGGGTGGGTAGGAAAACAGGCAGCCGGCTGGGAGAAGCTCCTCCTCGGGGGTGGCGTGGCGCGCGGCCTTGGGGGTGCTCGCGGAGTGATTGGAAAGGGAGAGCGCACCCGCGCCCGGCCAAAGGGTTGCAGCAGCAGGTCTCATTCGTTATGAGTCTCTCGCTGTTTGTTGACGCTGCTGCGGCGGCGTGGCGGGGCGTAGCGTGGAGAGGCGGGGCGTGGGGGTTTCGCCGCCTAAACACTCTTTGATGTAAAAAGGCAAGCAGTGAAGCGCGGGGCGGCAATCCCAGAGTCAATGCGACACACAAACTGCACCGAGGCGGGGCGCGCGGGCCGTCCGCAAAGTTTGCGTTGCGTGGGGCGGGGTGTTGAGGGGCGGGCGGTGGGGCCGCGAGGCGTGGCACAGTGGGTCGAGCGTCGTCGCCGCGCGCGCTGCGCAAGTTTGATCCCCGGAAAAGTGATTCAGCGTCTTTAGTGTTCCACGTCGTCTCTTCTCGCAACGTGGCCGTCGTACCACCGCTGCTTGCTGAATTGTGCCCTCTTACACTTGAACATCAATGTCACACAGTACGCCCAACCCTGGAGGAAGGATCTCTAGTTGGACTAAAATCAAGTACACGAAAAGTAAACTAAATAGCATGTATATTTGTACGTATTGGATTACTTTTTAAATTACACATGGCTGCTTCATCTATTTATTTTAATTTTCTTTTTGTAGGGGAAGAGAGGGGGTATTTCAAATATTAATTCTTGAAAAGGCGAGAACATTTTCCTAAATTTTGTTGGTACTCAATTATCGAAATAAAAGCCCAGATGTCCTGCGCGTGACGTCCTCTAACCCCGCAGACCAGTGCCGCCACCACAACCACTCGATCAAGAGAGACCCCGTGATGTGATGGTGCGCGGCGAGGCTGCCGGCGATAGGCATGTCCAGCAGCGGCGGCGATCAAGGACTCATTCATCACGTGAACCCGAAAGACATGTGTCATAAGAGTGGAGGGTGGGACAAAAGAGTCCCCGTCCACCTCATCGGGGCCCATCGGCGCCCTCACCACCCACGAGGACCCCATTCACAAGCCGCAGGCCGCAGGGGAGAGGATTATACGGGCGCCGCAAAAATGTTTCTCTCATATTCTTTTCATTCGCGTGGATGGACAGACAGGCAGGCATC